TAGTGATGAGTTGCTTACTTGAGATCTTTCTGGCTTCTTTTTTTTTTTTTTTTTTGTAGGGACTGATTGCTATAAAATTCCCTCTTAGTACTTTTACTTTATGCCTGTGCTTCCATTTCCATTTGTTTCAATAGATTTTTTAAATTTCTTCCTAGATCCAGTACTTGCTCAGGAGTTTAAGCTGTTTTGTTTTGTTTTAAAGATTTATTTATTTAATTAGAGGCAGAATAATAGGTAGAGAAGGAGGAAGAGAGATCTTCCATCCACTAATTCACTCCCCAAATGTACATAAGAGACCAAAGCCAGGAACCAGGAATTCTGTTAGAGGAAATCTGGATTGGAAATGGAGGCAGGACTCGGCCCCAGATACTCTGTTATGGGATGAGGGCATCCCAAGTGGCTACTCAACTCCCTGCACCAAAATTCTCACCCCAAGATTTAAGCTATTTAATTTCCATGTATTTATATATTTGCCCTAGTTTTCCTTGTTACTGATTTCTAGTTTTTATTGCATTATACTCAGAAAATAAAGATAATGTGATTAGTCTTTTTTAATCTGTTGAGGCTTATTTGGTGACCTACCTTGTGGCCTATCCTGTAGGATGTGCTGCTGAGAAGAATATGTATTCTGTAGCTGTTGTACAAAATGTTCTGTAGATCAAATTGATCTACAGTGCAGATAAGTGTTTCTTTGTTGATTTTCTGTCTGGGTGATTTGTCCATTTCTGAAAGTGGGATGTTAAATTTCACTATTTTTATTGTATTTTAGTCTGTCTTTCCCTTTAGGTCTGTTATTTGCTTTATGTATTCGGGTGCTTCAATATAAGGTACATGCATATTTACAATTATCTTCTCTGGTTGGTATGAACTTTTTATCATTACATAACGGCTTTCCTCGTCTCTCTTACTGCCTTTGACTTAACAGTAACTTTTTCTGCTGGAATTATGACTACTCCTGCTTTTTAGGGAATTCTATTTGCATGGAATATTTTGTTGCATCCTTTCACTTTCAGTTTGTGTGTGTCTTTGAAGGAAAAGTGTGCAATGGGCCTCTGTATGGTTTATTTTCTTCTTTTCTCTTAGAATTTGAGTATGTTCACTACCTGTAACCTTTGAGAGCTTGATTATGTTACATCTGAGCCTATAGTTCATTGGGTGGAATCTGACTGCTGACCTTTGACTGCTGATACCTCTCTAGTTGTGTCTTTCTCTAGGTTGGAAGTTTTCTGTTAGTTTCTTTTACAATATGCTTTCTATCCCTACAGCATTCTCAAATACCTCTTGAGCCCCAGTAACCTGGACATGTGCTCTTTTCATGCTGTCCCAAATTTCCTATAACCTTTTCTTGTTCCTTTTGATTGGTTTTTTTCTCCTCCAACACTGTATTTTCAAATAGCCTGTCTCTTTGAGCTGACTGATTCTTTTATTATCTGTTCTGCTATCCATGCCTTCTATTGCATTTTTTGGTTTTGCTTACAGGACTTTTCAATTGAGGTATTTCTGTTTGATTTTGTTAATTACTTCCATCTCTCTAACAAGTTCTTTTTGTTTTCCTATGAACCGGAGGATGATAGATCTCTTTCTCTTTCTCTGGCTCTCCCTATCTCTCACTCTACCTTTGAAATAAATTAAAAGAAAAAAAAGATTGCATTTCCAAGCCTCTCTTGAAGCTAAGTGTAGCTAAGTCCTAACCAAGGGATGTCCACGGAAACCACCTCAGGAAATAACTGTAAAGAAATGGAGCACTTCCTCTTTAGTCCTTCTTCCTTCCTGCTGGAATGCAGAGGTGATAGCTGAAGCTCCAGCAGCCGTATTAGAATAAGAGAAGAAAGCCACTTCCTGAAGGTATCAAAAGAAAGTAGGAACTTTGGGACCAGCAGGTTAAACTGCCACCTGAAACACATGCATCCCATATGAAAGATATTTCCAGTCCCAGCTGCTCTACTTCCCACCCAGCTCCCTGCTTATGTGTCTGGGAAAGCAGCAGAAAATGGCCCAGGTACTTGGGCTCCTGCACCCATGTGGGGACCTGGTAGGAGTTCCTGGCTCCTGCCTTCTGCTTGGTCCAACTCCAACCATTGTGACTATTTGGGGAGTAAACCAGTAAGTGGAAGATTCTCTCTCCCTCTCTCTCTCTAATTCTGCCTTTCAAATATCAAATAAATGAATTAATAAAGCTTTAAAAATAGATGATGAAGAAGGTAGAAAAATGAGCCAGGATAATATATATAATCCCAAATTGTTGAAAGAAAAACTAGAATATATAGTCACCTCTTTAACAGATCTTTTCTTCTTCAGTTGCTTTTATTCTTTTAACCCCATAATACAGATGTCACCTAGAATTTTCTCTTTTTGAGGATTTCTTTATTTATTTGAAAGGCAGAGAGAGAGTGAGAGAATCTTACCTTACATCCACTGGTTCACTCCCCAAATGGCCACAGCAGCCAGGTCTGGGCTGGGCTGCAGCTGGGAGCCGGAATATCCATCCTGTCCTCCCTCATAGGTGGCAGGGGCTTGAGTACTTCAGCCATCTTACACTGCTTTCCAAAGCTCATTAACAGCAAGCCGGGTAGGAAGCAGAGCAGCTGGGATTCACATTACCAGTCACAGCAGCAGCTCAACCCACTGCACCACAATCCAGCCCCTCACTTAAAATGTTCAACCATCATTGTTTTTCATTCACATATTCTCCTTGGGTAATTAGACATCACATTGATGATTCCCAAATTGTATGTCCAATTCCTAACTTTTTCTCGAGTTCTAGACTTATATTTCTAATAGTTCATGTATCTAATAACTCAAAAATTTATGCCTCCAAAGTTCAAACTGTCTTCACCCTCACATATACTACTGCTTTTTAAAATTACATTCATATGGAAACACATACAGAGAGATATGTATTGTGTGTATGTATGCATACACACATCCTTATGTATATAAGTCTGGATGTTTCTATATATACATCACAGATGTAGATATTAATTTTTGCAGGTGCTTCATTAGGTATAGTACATGCAGTAGTCCCTAAAATAGGGTTCCATCATGACAATGCTTTACAGAATTGTAGATAGGCATTCATCAAATTATCTCACATATAAATGTTGTTTAATTATGGTCATTTCTATGAATGAGAAGAACATGGCATCATGTGAGGAATAATAGAATCATTTGGCTTTCTTCTTCTTACAATAAATAACCTTTTTTGTTAGACAAAGGTGGCGTGAAATAACTTCTAAAATAAACTATCTACCTTTAATGCTTTTTTAGAAAAAGTTTTTATTTATTTATTTATTTGAGAAGTAGAGTTACAGAGAGAAGGAGAAATAGAAAGGTCTTCCATCCACTGGTTCACTCCCCACCCAAATGGCCACAATGGCCAGAGCCATGCCAGTCTGAAGCCAGGAGCTTCTTCCAGGTCTCCCACACAGGTGCAGGGGCCCAAGCACTCGGGTCTCTTCCATGGCTTTCCCAGGCCATACTGGAGAGCTGGATCTGAAGAGGAGTAGCTGGGAATTGAACCACCACCCATATGGGATTCCAGTGCTGCAGGCGGAGGCTTAGCACACCACACCACAGCGCCGGCCCTAATTTCTGAAAATATTTAATACAATTCAGTACTCAAATGTCCTAGCAAATTGACTGTTTTTCTTGTCCAAATTTCCATATCTTTTCTTCCTAATTATGTCTTTATTGTTCATAAGTCTAACAAAATGTCAAGGACTGACATCGTGACATTACCATTAGTACTGGGAATGTTGATGTAGAAACTAAATAAAAGAGCTTCTGTGAAAATAGTTTTATGTTCTTTGTATGTAAAAAATGACACATAACATCAAGACTTCTTCCCTGTCACAGTCTATCTGTTTCTTCCTACGTTTTATATGGTTTATGGTATTTGTTAGCTGAATGTTAACTGTTTGTTATTTTTCATATGTGTTTCAAGTCTTTTGCATAAAACTGAATTTCTCATTCTTAGAAGAGTTATGACCAGTAGTGGTAGACCAGATCATGAACTAAGTTATACATGATCTAAAATAATGACTTTGTTTCGATGTAAATGTTAATATTAAAAAGTAACCTGAATTATTGTCTATGTTTGAGTAATTTTAGGATATTGCTCTTTAATTATCAATATTGAATAATAACATGTTAAATGTTTACTACTTCTAAATGCTAAATAATTTACATACATTCTCTTACTTACTTTGTAGTAATCCAGTGAGGTGGATACTATCATTATCCTCATTTTTCAGATAAAGAAAATGGCAAGTCAAAAAATACTCATCCATATCCTAGCAGAAATCACATATCATACTTAAATAGCAAATTGAGAAAAATTTAATATGGGCCTATGGTATTTACAATGGTTTGTGCAGAATTTAGGGAACACAACAAGAAATCTTGGGGTGAAGGGAAAGAGTACTGTTAGAATCCAGAAAAAAAAAAGCTGCAAGAAAGAAGGAACTGTGATCTTTAATTGAGACACACAAGGCCTAGTGGAGAAAGACTCAGAGGAATAAATATTAGACCTGAAGTTCCTCTCAACAGACTGAACCCTACTCGAAGCCAGAGAACACAAAATAGCTTGTTAACACTGTCCATAAAGGTCAGCTTGTGACAGAATATGAAGAAGGTTGAAAATGAATGAAATGGAAATGGAAAATAATTAGAAATTAAATAACTTACTCAAGAATTTAAACTATTAAATGGCAAAGTCAATATATGAGTGAAAAACACTACTTCCATTCACGATGCTAACCTGCTTCTCATATAAAAAATGTTTGGTGAAGTATTACTTGCTGGAAAAAAATATTTTGTCTGAAACTGTCCTATCCTAAATTGTTGGATGTATTTGAATCTAAGTAAAAATTGCACCAGCTATTTGAGAGCTGAGCAGCAAAGAATGCCCTGGCCCTCAAAAAAAAACTTAGATACGGGTATTGATTTACATGTTGTTGGCATTTTCAGAATGTTATACCATGGCTGTTCCTCTTGTTCAGATTCCAGACTCCATCATTTCTCGTGGTGTTCAGGTGCTCCCACGAGACACAGCCTCCCTCAGCACTACTCCTTCAGAATCACCTCGTGCTCAGGCCACATCTCGCCTCTCTACAGCTTCCTGCCCAACACCAAAAGTAAGTACAGCTCATTGGCACCTGACACCTGCTCTGCTGTGGAAATCTGGGGAAACTAACCAATATTTTCCTGTACTTGTCAAGGTTGGATTGCATGCAACATAATACTATGAAAAAAAATGGAATATAAAGTAGATACCACTCATTTTTCACTAATTGTCACATTAGACCACGAGTAGGACAATCTAGAGGTTTCATAGAAAATGTCTACTCCTACATCACAGCTAGGGATATCACTTCCTATAACTCCTGTTTCTTTGATGTAGACTTGTTATTTTTAACCATACTCATCAGTATAGATATAAAATTATTTATACTGAGAATAAGTGTATTTTTGGCCATTAAACAACAAGATTAAAAAAATACTATCACCAAAGGTTGTTTTTTGTTTTTGTTTTTGTTTTTGTTTTTGTTTTAATTTGTCCAGTCTGGGGTAGCTCCCAGCTCTAGTATCATTCCAAATTTTTTCAAATATATTCAACTTGGAATGTGGCTGCCTAATATTTGGAAACAAATCTAAATTTATTAGAAAGAAAGTTTTAATGCCAACCTTTGAGGGAGGGAGTTTTTTCGTCTTTATTTTTATATGCTTATCACTGAATCATAATGGGAGAAAGGATTAGACATTTGTTTCTTGCCTACATCTTCATGTGTTTGATAAATTACCTAGCCTCCTTAATTATTGTTGTGATTGCCTTCTCCTAGAATCTCTCTCCTGAATCAGTTAGTCCTTTGTGCTTTCAGGTTCTTTATGTGATAGATCCCATATTGCTATTAAAAGGTTAACAGTAACTTCCTTCTTATTTACTAGCACAAGAACTAAGATATCAGGCTGTATATTAAATTTACTCTAAGGATCTGACAGTTAATTTTTCAAACTGTAGCTTTTTGTCTATCATCAAATTTAAGCACCTATGTTGGTATCTTCCTCAATTCCAGCTTTTTATCAGTTTTATGAATATTACAAATTACATTTGACTAAAAGTGATCTCAAACATTCTAGATGTGGCAGTGCAATTTGTTATATGTTTTGTAATAAAACCTTCCCAACAAAGTCTTCAGAGTATTAACTCTTGTATATCACTGTTTTTTAGACATATGTCAAAAATAATAGATTACTTTTGTCATCTAAATGAGGTCGTAAATCTCACTGGAGAAAAACTATAAGAACATTCTATATGTAAAGTGCATTTCATTGCCAACTGGGTACCAGTCAGCTACATTTGCAACTGAATGAAATCAGAGTTCTTAAACCCTGGTTGGGAAAACCAAGGTTTCATCTGTCTTTTAAGTTATTTTTTAAAAAATGCCATGATTTGTCTATATTCAATTCCAACTGTACAAGCTAAATGCATTTGAGAAATAATTAAAAGTAAAAGCTAGATCCACTCTAAGATATTTACTTCACTGAATATTTAGGCCTAAATATTGAGAATACAGAACTATCCAAGTTTCTGTTGTTTTTCTGTGATAACATACTGTGATTGTAAGTATTTTGGAAATATCTTAGGCCAAATTATATAGTAGTTCTTAAGCCTTTATAAGCATTGTAATTACATCTTAGTTACAAAGAAGATATCACATACAATTTTCAAAATCACTCAGCACTTCCACATCCTCCAAAGTAAAGCACTAGAAATGTTAACATTTATTGAATTAATTTACTTATTGTAAAACTTTTGAAAAACAAGTAGCTTGTCTTGATATTTTCAAATATTCAAACTGACAATGAATTCAAATGAAGCACTGTGTTTTTATCCAGGAATAAAATTGTGTTCCTTTTATATGATTTTTTCTAGCACTGGAATTCTGGGAATTTATTACTTTGTTGTTAATTTTAAAAATAAACTTTAAATGATGAATTAGAATACTAATATAATACCACTAGATACTTTAAATATTGATATTTTAAGAAGTAAAAGATGTCAAATTATCCTTTCTAATAAAAATCTCTTATAAATGATAAGACTGCTTAATTGAACTTAAAATATGTGTTCTTATAAGTGCTTTAATTTCAATGACAGATACTGTCAGATACAGTCTCCATCTAGGTTCCTGGAGTTTACAGTTTAGTTGGGAGTTTACTAACATAAATGAGTAGGTAAACAAGAAATTTTAATAATTAAAATTTCACTATAACTTAATAATCATATTTTTAAGTACATGTAAAAGATGTACTGATAGAAATAATAGCAGGAGGGATACTTGGCATTGTGTCACAGTGTGTTAGATTGCTAGTTATGACGCTGGCATTCATGGCAGAGTGCCATTTCCAGTCCTGGCTACTGTGCTTCTAGTCCAGCTCCTTGCAGCAGATGATGGTCCATGTACTGAGCCCTTGCCACCCATGTGGGAGGCCAAGCTGGAGTTCAGGCTCCTGGCTTCAGCTTGGCCCAACCCTGGCTATTGTGGCCATTTGTGGAGTGAAAAAGCAGATTGAACACCATCCCCCTTTCCCTTCAATCTCCCTTTCTGTGTGTACCTTTCAAATAAAATAAAAATAAAGAAATCTTTAAAAAAAGAAGGAATAGAGGAAGAGGAGGGCAGTGCAGGGAAGGGAAGGGAAGGAAAGGAAGGAACAGGGCAGGGAGAAGAAGAGCAGGAGAACCTCATCTAGATAGGCTGATCAGAGAAGGCCCTCCAAGAAGTAACATTTCACTGCGGGTGAAAACAAATAATAAAATCCTAACATGAGGTTTGGTGTTGGATAGAGGCTTAATGAATTATATATAGCAATAATGACTGCTTTAAAGGCAGTGGACACCAATCAAGAACGCTATAGCTAAAACTTTCAATAGTATGTGAAAGATAAGACTGCTTAATTAAATTTAAAATATGTGTTCTTTTTTTTTGTTTGTTTGTTTTTTTTTGTTTTTTTTTTTTGCCAGGCAGAGTGGACAGTGAGAGAGAGACAGAGAGAAAGTTCTTCCTTTTGCCGTTGGTTCACCCTCCAATGGCCGCCGCGGCCGGCGCACTGTGCTGATCCGAAGCCAGGAGCCAGGTGCTTTTCCTGGTCTCCCCTGGGGTGCAGGGCCCAAGCACTTGGGCCATCCTCCACTGCCTTCCCGGGCCATAGCAGAGAGCTGGCCTGGAAGAGGGGCAACTGGGACAGAATCCGGCGCCCCTACCGGGACTAGAACCCGGTGCCAGCGCCGCAAGGCGGAGGATTAGCCTATTGAGCCACGGCACCAGCCAATATGTGTTCTTATAAGTGCTTTAATTTCAATGACAGATATTGTCAGATACAGTCTCCACTGACTTCAAACTCCAATTTCAAATTTCAATTTCTTTATGTTAGATAATGATTTTTTTAGCCTCTCCTCACTGAGTCATATATCAAGGTCATAGGTTTTGATACTTCCCTCTGTTTTAGGTGAGTTAGTTATTTTAATTTTTATAACATAGAAATTTGAAGCAAAAGAAAACAAAAGTGATTTGCTCTAATTTGAGCAATTGGATAATTATGATGTTATAAGGAATATAAAATACCAGCAAGTTTTGAGAGTAAAAGGGTAGTGCATTTTGACTTTGTGTACATTCTGAAGTACATGTAAGACATCCTGAAGTTTGTGTAAGACATCCAAGGAATAGTATTCAACACAAAATATGGAAATACAGTTTGAGTTGGACATCTTTATTGTTACTGCATATTGGTTCTAATATTTAGAGTCCAGTACATGTTAGTGTTGGCAAAACCCCATACGTATCCCCTTTCTACATCATAGAATGTCATGTGCAGAAATATATGTTTAAATGTATTTTCTTTACATCAGAAATATAATTTAGTCATGAATGACCAGCACTAGAAAGGGTACCTGACTTAACAGCAGCAGTCCTGGATTCAAAGGCTTGTTTCTTTTCTTAGTAACCGTATTTGATTAAGCAAGTCATTTAACTTTTCTGAGCAGCTTCATGTCTGTTGAGAGACTTAAAATCCCTGTCTCCCTGAGAGTGTGTTAGTTCATTAAATTAAGTAAGTCTTTTCTAATGGTGCAGAAACAAGTGAGCCTGTTAGCACTGTTCCTTCCTTTAAACAGATAAAATAAGTCACTATAAATTATAATAAAGTATAATAAATATTATTATTTATTAGCAGGAGTACAGGATATTATGGAAATAATCATCAAAAACACTTAAATTAGTTTGTGAGAACTCAATGGTTAAATAACCAAGAATTGATTCAAAACTAACTGTTCCAACCTTTTTCTCTATGTCCTTTATCACTAGACTATAGATCTCTAAATTCGTGTTTGCATTTACTTCTCTAGGTCAACAACTATAATGTTAAACATCATTTGGATTCACATTTTGTATGTATACTGAAGTAAAGTATTCTAGATTGTCCTTTCATCCTTTAAGATTCTCCAGCTTTAGTGAGAGAAAGATTTATAAAATATACCATGTTTTCATTTCTTTTCTCTATGTGAATTACAATCTAATGAAGACTACCATACATCAGCTTTTCTAAATAATTATTAATAAAATAGCATTTTCTCCAGCAAATATTTACTTGCTGAAATAACATTTTATTACATATGAGATAAAAAGGCATTTTTATGTCAGATATTTTCTTTTAAATGAAATCTGACTGGAATGAATGATTTTCAGTCCTCTTGTTTCCTGATACATTGTATGTCTTAAGAACAAATTTGGGATTTTTAGTTTTTCATCACCCTAAATAGAATAGTGCCTAAGCCAAAGAAATAAAATCATATGTGGATTCTATTTAAAGAAATGTAGGCTTTATCTAGAGAACTTGCGTTCTAAAATGGTGATAGTGTTCTAAAAAGGATGTGCTGAAATAATAATTCTCTAACACATAAATTCTCTTTTAGAGTGAACATTATTCACAACTAAGGACAGCAGCATCTCTCAGAATCTCTATTTAAAAATCAAGTTAAGAGGTTTGAGGTACAAAATAATAATCGGAACAAAAGAAAAAAATCCAAACTTTTGATCAGTTTTGCCCTTTAGTTGATGTTTGTTTCAGACATTATTAA